CCTGGCTTTGGAGGGTGGGCTATGCAGGGCATGAGGAGTTGGCCAAATGGATGCAGCCAGGGAGTTGTGGTCAGTGGCTCCATCCCCAGGCTCCAAGGCTGGAGAGGTGTCCATCAGGTCTCTGCCTTGACACAAGGGCTCTTTAATGGTTTTGCCAATGACAGAGAGAGTGGATGGACCTTCCCCTCAGCACAGAGTTTGGAGGGGACGAGAAACTGAGCAGGGCAGGGGCTGAGGAGAAGTACTTGGGTATGTGGATGGAGGAGAAGCTCAGCATGAGCTGACAATCTGTGCTCACAGCCCAGAAAGTCAGCCCTGTGCTGGTCTGCATGGAAAGAAGCAAAGAGCAGTAGATCAAGGGAGGTGTTTGTGGCCCTCCAGTCCATTTTTGCAAGACCCTACCTGGATCACTACATCTGTGTCTGGGGGCCCAAGCATAAGAAGGACATGTACCTGCTAGAATGTGTTCAGAGGAGAGCAACAGAGATCCGCTCAGAGCTGGAGCACCTCTGCTATAATGACAGGCAGGGCAGGGAATATGCTCCAATCCAACTGGGGAGAGATGCCCCTGCCCAAACCAAGGCGCAAATGAGACCATATGATGATAACATGCAGATTTTATTTAACATGAATTTTGTTTAACAAGAAATGTGAAGCTGAGGGATAGAAATAGGAAAGAGGTTTCAGATAGAGAGAAAGAGACCAGAAGATAATCAGATGGAACTAGAAGATCTTTAGGGCTCTTCCCAATCCAGAGCATTCTGTGATTCTAGAATATGTGTATATGTATTTTAACTTGATATTATTATTATTATTACCATCAATATAATTATTATCATCAATACAATATTATCATCAATAGTTATTGTTATTATTTACTACTACTATTTTTTTTCTTTTTCCTGTTTGTCTTCTTTTTCTTCTTATTTGCTACTACTAAAGGTGCTTCTACATCATCTTTTTCTTCTTTTGCTTTTTCTTCTTCCTCTTCTTCTTTAGTACTACTAATTCTTCATATTATTATTAGTAGTAGTAGTAGTAGTATTCCTGTTCTTATTCTTTTTGTGTTTTTTTTGGTGTGGGTTTTTTTTTTTTACTACTACTGTTTCTTAAACCAAACTTTAATTTGTTTTAAATGAACTGTGTGTGTTGCAATCCTGCAGTCTGCAGTGAGGTCCTGGGAGCAATACCTCCTGTCTGTGCCCATTCCTCATGGATAAAATCCCAAAGTATCAGCAGGTAATCCTCTCAAGATGAAAGGAAATGGCCTTTCCTCCAGGAAGGTTCCACCAAAGTAGGTTCAGCTTAAATATCAGGAACAATTTTTCCCTGACAGAGTTGTCAGGAATTGGAAGAAGTTGCTCAGGGAGGTGGTGGAGTCATTAGCAATGTAAGTGTTCAAGAGTTGTCCAGATGTGGCACCTGAGGACATGTTTTTGGGGTGATGATGCTGGTGCCAGGGTGACAGTGGGACTGCATGACTTTCAAGGTCTTTTTCCCACCCTGATGATTCTCTGTGATTCACTGCTGTGCCACCTGTCACCAACATCCACCTGGAATGCTGGTTTGGTGCTGGCCACATCGGTCATATTTGGTTTTTGGGACACCCACTTGGGATGCTCCAATGCAGCCAGGTATTGCTGAGGCTGCAGGGACATGTCCAGGCAGATGCAGCTGTGTGGCTCCCTCTGGATGCTGGGCCAGCTGCCACCTCCAGGGCCCAGGCTGGAGCCAGCAGCAGCCCTAATCCTCGGGCTGCGGCACCATGCAGGGGCAGCGGAAAAGGCTGCACAGTGCCTGTGTGAGACGGGAGGGGTGTTTATGGTGGGGATCTGACTGCCACCTGAAGGTCTGGGCTCCCTTCTGGGGAGCTGAGCAGCTGGGACATCTGCATGGGGCAGGGCCAACCTCTGGCACCTGCTCCTTGAAGGCAGGACCAACTGCACATCCTCTGGGGGCTTGGGATTTCACTTGGAGGTGTGGCTCAAGTGCCTGATGCTCGACCCAAGCCTCTGGAGGGACAGGCACTTGGAACCCATCCTCTGCAAAGTGTCCCGGTCTTTCCTCTCTGTCTTCTTCTTCAGATAGCTCAAGGATACTCAGATCATCCCACTTGTCCTCCTCCTGCAGCAAGGGCTTGACCCCGGTGCTGTGGACACTTGCGTGTTGCAAGCTGTCCGGCCTGAGCTCCTTATCAGTGTCTTTTTTCCAGCTGGACTGCATGGAAGCTCTGTTAACCTTCCCTTTGGACATCTTCTGGCCAATGGAATCTTCCTCTTCAGTAAGCTCTTGGCCAATGGACTTGTCCCAGTCAGAGAGTTCTTGGTAGCTACTGACTTTGTGGGACAGCTCTTGCTTCCTGTATTCTTCCCAGACAGACAGTTTTTGGGAGCTACCGGCTTCTTGGGATAGCACTTTCTCTGTACATTCTTCCCAATCATAAAATTCTAGGTAGCTTTCAGCTTCTCCTGGGGACAGCTCTTGCTCGATGCAGGCTTCCCCTGGAGACAATTCCTGGTAGCTTCCAGCTTCTCCCGGGGATAGCTCTTGCTCCATGCAAGCTTCCCCTGGAGACAATTCCTGGTAGCTTCCAGCTTCTCCTGGGGACAGCTCATGCTCCATGCAGGCATCCCCTTGGGACAATTCCTGGTAGCTACCAGCTTCTCCTGGGGACAGCTCATGCTCCATGCAGGCCTCCCCTTGGGACAATTCCTGGTAGCTACCAGCTTCTCCTGGGGACAGCTCTTGCTCTGTGCAGGCTTCCCCTTGGGACAGTTCTTGGTATTTGTTCATTTCTTTTTGGGAGAGCTCTGGTTCTTCCTCATCATCACACTGGGAAAGCTTGAGCTCCCCAGCCAAGGTGCCCTCCTCAGTCTCCTGTTCTATCAGGACTGACCCCCTGTCTGCCTCCTCCTGCTGCTTACTGAACACCTGGGCTCCTAGTGGGCAGGTCAAGGGGCTGGGTGGGCAGCAGGGGCTGTGCAGGACAGAGATTGGTCTCTCTTCCCTTTCTACTGGAGCTGCTGCTTCCAGTTCTGCAGCCACGCTTTGCTGCAGGTGCCCCTGTTCCTCTGGCTTCTGGACAGATGCTGGGACCTCAGGCATAGCCTTGAGAACCACCTCAGAGGTGATGTGCCTCGCTAAGTCCAGCAGAGTCTGGCTGCAGCCTGGGTGGCTGCGTGGGGCAGGGACTGGGCTCTCTGTCCCTAATGATAGCACCTCCTCACTGCCTGCAGGAGAATCCAGTGCCTCTTCCTCCTCGGGAGCCAGAGGCTCAGGAGGCTTCTCCTCACCAGCTCCAGCCAGGGCAGCAACAGGGCAGGACAGCCAGGGCAGCTGAGCTGCTGGCTCAGCCTCCATGGGACTTCCCAGGGCAGGAGAGGTGCTGGGTAACTCACAGACTTCCTCTCCTGACATCTTAGTGTCTGTACTGCTGGAAGAGCTGGGTCTCTGCTGAGCACAAGTCTGGGCATCTTCATCATTCTCTGTGTGCAAGGGTTTGTCCCAGGTCTTGTAACTGACTCCTTCTCCCCATTGGGACAGCCCCTGACTGCTCATGCTTTCTTCCTCTTGGGACTGCTTTTGGTCACTCTTGTTTTTTTCCCTTTGGGTCAGCTTTTCCACATTGTAGTGTTTTCCTTGGGATACCTCCTTGTCACTCTTGTCTCCTACTTGGGACAATTCTGGGTCTCTCTTACCCACTTCCAATTGGTACATGTGTGGACAGCCTCGCACATCTTCCAAAAGAGCCAGATCCTGGCATCCATCCTCTTCCCATTGGGATAACTCTTGATGTCTGTCATCATCTTCATGCGAAGGGCACAGCTCCTGGACTGTCATGTTTTCTTCCCGGTAGTACAGCTCTTGCTGTGTTCCATCTCCCCACTGGACTGTCACATCTACGTCCCACTGGACTGTCACTTCTTCTTCTTGTTGGTAAAACTCTTGTTCGCTTACTTCTTCCCACAGGCAAAGCTCTTGGTCATCAATATTTCCCCATTGGAAAAGTTCTTGATCCATATCATCTATCCACTCTTTGTCCATGTTGACAAAGGCACCCTCCTCCTCAGCCTCTGACAGGAACAGGACTGAGCTGCCCTCTACCTCCAGTCTGCTGAGGGCCTGGTCTTCCTGCCAGCTGGGCAAGGGGCTGGGGGACCTGGAGTTAGGGTTCACCTTGTCCTCTTCCATCTTGGACTTCCTCTAACACAGAGGTATCCTGGGAGCCGCTTCCTCCTGAGATGACAGCTCCCACTGGTCACCACAGGACTGGCTCTGTGCCTCTTAAGTAGCCCCCTGGTGGGGTGGGTCTCTGCCATGTCACAAGGGCCTCTGGGCACCACAATATCCCACATCACCAAGGGTCCTGACACAATGCACCTGTGTCACAAAGGGCTATACCCAGCACCCCTTCAACAGACAAAATTACTGGAACTGTGGGTTTCTAGCCTCCTCATAAATTTGTCATCCAGCTTTGAAAATTATCAGAAACACCTCTGCCTGAATTAAGGTGCAAATGAGACAATATGCCAAAGTGAATAGTACAGGTTTTATTTACAGTAAATGAGAGGGACAGAGAGAGAAACAGAGAGAAAGAAAAAGAAATAGAAAAAGGTAGCCACAAGAAAGAGAATGACAGAAACAGATTAAGTAGAAAATATCACCATTCTATTGATCCCAATGGTGTCCTGTTGATGTTCTCCATGAGGGCTTCTTGATGGTGAGGGACCCCAGGAAGCATCAAGTTCAATGGACTGATATATGCTTGGGTTGGGTGGGAAGGCCCAGGTGCCTCCCGTGGGGCAGAGAACAAGTTTGACACAGTCTCTTGCAGATTTCTCTGAATCTGTTACATCACTCTGCATCACGTGCAATTCTCCACTGCAAGGCTTCAGCAATGAGTCTGGGGAGAGCTTTGTGGGTCTTTGATGGATTATGACATCTCATCAGTGCCCCTCATGTGCATTCCTCATGGATGTGACCTTCCTAGGTTGCCCAGCTGAGGCAGTTTGTCTAAGGGAAGATGGGTCACTGATGTGCTGGGAATTCAGTACACATACCCAGAGTGAGGCATGACTATGGAGCTCCTCTGCTTTATTGCACAATCCCAGGCAGCTAGAATACCTCTAGCGGGACAGACAAATTTACCAAGGTTGTGGTAGCAAACTGTTAGATATTGATAATATGCAGTAATAGATATTATAAACTGCAACTATTCCATATTCAGTACCTTTACTGAAGGAAAATTTGCAACTAGGTAATTCTTATATGACTGGCCTTTAGCTCTTGGTTTCTATCAACAGTATTGGCCATTACATGAGTGCTACATTTAGTCATGGGGAAAGAAGTTGCTGTAAACAGTCTCTCAAAAAAGGGATTGGGGCAGAATTGGTTTAAACTGACCTTGACAATGAAGTGATCTCATTACAGGGCTCTGCAGCCAGAGCCCATTAAAGTAATCAGGTGCTTTTTCCTTGACGTTTTTGAGACACTGAAATTTTATCAACATCAAAATAGACTGAACTGCCAGGAGTGTATCTGTAGATGTCAGTGACATCTCTTTCAATGTTATAATTCCACTGAGTATAAGACAGAAAAGTGTATGTTACTCTGTGGCAGATTTATGAAAAGAAAACAAAAATCTTAGTAAGTCCATTATCTACCCTGTTTATTTTAATTTTTCTCTGGCATCTCCAGGGTTTCCAGCTATAACAATTTCTGGGGGGGCTATTCTTCCAAGAACAATTAAAGGGGTAAATGGGAGAGCAATATATATGTAAAATGAATTTTTAGTCTCCAGAGAGAAAATACTTTTTTTATCCCTTCCAGGAAACATTTTTTGTAATGCAAACATTCGACTTTTGAATATTCCAGCTAATTGGATACCTGCTGTTACTTTGGGAATTACCCCTTCAAGATGCTAAGGAAAATATTTTCCAAGTGGGATCAGGAAGGCACTAGAACAGGTTGCTCAAAAGGGATGTGGGGCCTTCATTCAGCTCATCTGAGCAAGGCACTAAGCAGCCTCAGCTGATGTTGCAGGTAGTCCTGCTCTGAGCAGGTTCTTGGATTGGGTGATGTCCCACACTCCCTTCTAAAGTCAGTTATTCTCTTAGCCTATTATTTTGAGGACTTACATAGAAAGTGCTAATTTCTCCAACTCTCACACTTCAATTGACAGCATATCCCTGTGCTCAGTAATATTTATTGTCTACTCAGACTTGAGCATTTATTAATTAGTAAAATAAAATGAGATGGAGAAAATTACAATTTTTATAAAATAAGTGTGATTTTAAAAGTGTGGCACTTTTCTTTTGACCTTATGTAAGCACTGAATAATCTTTGTTATCAATAATAGAAAATTAATTTCCTTTTACAAAAACTACTTTCACAGCAGCCTAATACAAGTTTCATGTAAGGGGTTAGCTCTGATCTGCATATTTTTGAGAACAGAAGCTGGCCATTGTTTCTTAATAGCTTATATGCCAAAATACTTTTGTCTACTCACTATTCTGACTGCAGTTTCACATGGTCAGAGGTATCAGAAATTTGAAATCAGCCCTGGTACCCAAAAATACCCAAACAAGTCCATGTTTTTTCTCTAGCTGAGGTATAGTCTGGATTTTTTTTTCTGTCCAGGTGGTGGGTTTGGACCACGAAACACTGATCCATGGATAGAACTAACCCAACCTGTGGGAGTCTTCCCATCCAGATTTTTTTCTCAACCCATTAGATTTTGTACTGCTGAATTGCAGAAAATGTCATTGTTTGTGTATATTCCTTGGAGAGTAGGAGACCTGGTTCCATTATTTGACTCATTTTTGTGGGTTTCTTTCAGACCTCTCAACATTTGTTTCTTGCTGACTGAGTCTCTGGGGATGTAAGAAACAAAGACCGGCACGTTTTTTAGCCTTTAGCACTGAGCAGAACTGTGGCTTCTCTGGTTACCGTATGTCCCAAAAAGCAAATGCAGGGTGCCAGATGATGCAATGACATGTGCCATGCTACTGGCTGAATAGAAGTGTCACACAGGATTCAGCTGCACCACTTTCTTGCCTGCAGGTCTGCATACTCATTCTTCCTGAGTTTTATGCATTCAGAGTTAAAGTTTGTGGCACACAACCAAATTCAAAGATCTGATTCTCTCAGTTTGAGGGACTGAAATTAGGATCATATTTGCAATCGGCGGTCTTAGTATTTTATTAAGAAGCAGGCTTTTCAGAAAGTGTTAAGGTTGAGCTGAATAAGAGGCATCCCTTTCTCTTTCAAGAGGGAACTAACAATGAATAACATTCCTGATTAAGGTACCTGGCTAGCTACCCAGAGTTAGGCGAGATGAAACCAGATGGAGCACAAATCCTAACAAGGCCAGCCCTAATCCAAACAGTCTGAATCCACAATTTAATTTCCCTAGGAGTCATGCAGACCCAGACTGTTTAACCTTCTTTCTGTGCTTCTGTCCTTCAATTCTCATATACAAATGACATTGTCCTTACTAGCTATGTGTGCATTTCTACTCCACACTAATTAATTTTTCTTTCGTGGTGGAGTTAACAATAACATGCTACCTGGCATGTCTCAAGGTCCAAACCTGCCCACAGGCAGGAGCCACAGACCATAGATGAACAGATGCATGGAATAGTTTCTGGCAGAAGAATAACAGACAGGCAGAGGAGAGAAAAAAAGAGACGCTGAACTGAGGAGGTGAAAGATAGGAAGAAGAGAGGAAGATGAGGGCTAATAGAAAGTCTTTGGTTATGAGAGTATACATCTGGGTTTTTGGGAGAAATGTAGAACCCCTAATGCTTGGCAAAGTCTACAGCTGTATGAAGTCTGCCTTGGTGCAAGTAAGTTATCTTCATATCACCCTGTACTCCAGCCCTTCTACCCTGCAGAACAGAATCCAGTGGTAGCTCAAAAAGCATCCATGAGATTCAGAGTCTGATTTGGATTTTATTCTGCCCTGTAAATGTGGAGTGACAAAGTAGTTTGGATGTACAGAAAGATTAAACTATGAGAAACTTAAAAGAAAGGAGAAATGCAAAGCTAGCTAAAACCAGAAAGGTGAATTATACCTGATATGCCCAGATTCTGTAGGAATTTCTTTTTCCTCTATTGGTTAAGTATTTCCAGTTTGTATATCTAGCTGTCGTTTTGTAAATATTCAATACTTGTCCACTACTCAATACCAGGTGCATCTTGCTAGCCTCCCACATTTCTGGGATCCCAGAGCTTTCTCTACCTCCTGTCAGCTTTCTTAGTTGTTACCCACATTATTTTCTAATAATTCAATCTGCTGCAAAGCACGTCCTGCAGTGTTTTGGGACTTCTGTCTCACTGAAGCTGGTGTGTATGAATAAGTGCAATGGATCTGGTGCACTTCTTTTTACTGCTGAGCCAACATTTGGGGCCATTTTTTTATCTCATTATACACACAGAATATTTTAGCATTTAAAATTTCAGTGTTTTCTAAATATATTTAACTTCATTCATAATATGCAAGGAATTAATATCCTGGATTAATATGCCAGGCTGGCAAATAGAAGAGGAAAGGGTGTCCAGCAATAGTATTTCAGTTTTTGCCTTAGGGGTATCCCAATTTTTCTCTGACCATCTATTTTTATGTATGATTATTCTATTATGAACCTTGATATGATACCAGAATAATTTTATAAATATGCAATTAGAGGTGGCCCCTGTTCAGCCTGAACATTTGTGTGTATGTTTGTGTGTTTATCTTTGCCTCTGTGTGTGAGGTTCATTTCCAAGGAATCTAAACCTGGATTCAAGTCCGAAGTCCTCAGATGGTCCCTGTCATTGCAGAAGGCTAAGCCAAAACAGCTGAGCACAACTTTGAAGACATTTAGATTCTAAATCCTGGTCCAAATGACTAGAATTCCTTTCCTTCTCCCATCTCTTTAATCTAAATTGAAGATAAGATCTAGGGAGCACGGGAAAAAGAAAAGACAATATCAACAGTTGATATTAATTGCCCTTTATCAATCCCTGAAGAGTTCTCAAAATATTTAAACAATCTGCTCTAAGTAACAACATTAATAAACTAAATGTGAGAAGAAGAAAAGCCAGTAATTACAGCAGAGTTTAAACATCACATCTGATAAGTAACAAAGACCTCTAAATTAAACAAATATAAAAGATAAAACAGAAAGCATAGTAAAGAAAGAAAATCAAAGCATTGTCCTAAATGGCATAGAGGTCACATGAATTAAATACCTCTAATGTCTTTCCAGAAAGAAAACATCATTAAAAGCCTGGAAGAACTGACTTCCAAATTAATTCTTCATCAACATTCAAAGTGCTTCCCCCTCCTTTCTGTCCCAGCATATTTCCTAAGGCCTCGTGCTTGACCCATTGAAACCATGTAACTGTCACAAACAAAAAATAAACTTTTGACCATTAATGGAGGATTAGAGTGTTGTAGGAAGTAGGTGGAGTATGAAAGTCTTAAGCCAAGAGTATGTTCCAGGTCTGAGAGAGGCTCTTTATATGAACTATATATGAAATACATGGAATTTATTTGTTATTTATTGCAATTATGCACTGTTTTGTCACTCTCCTTTACTAAGTGTCAGTTACTTGCAGATTCATTTGATTTGAAGGTAAAATGTCTGTTAATTTTATAACTTATTTTATAAACCTTAGTTAACTGCTGTTCTGCAGTGTAGTAGAACCCAAATTTTTGCCAAAATGATCCCAGTTACTTCAATTTGCAAGTGCTTGTGATTAGCTTAACCCAGCTTTTTGGGTTAGTGATGAGATTAAGGATGATTGGGATAAAGTTAGGGATAAGGCTGCTGAATTTTATCATATGTGATTTATCTTTCACCGGACTTGAATGGACAGATACTTTAAATTCACCTTTATTTGATCCATGCAAGACCTTTGGGCAGGCACCTGTTCAGCAACCTCTGCCAGCACTTCCTTCTCCCTACTGCTGAAACTTCCTCATCTTCATCCTTGATGTTTTACATAACTGATATTCTTCTCTTTCATCAGTCATTTCTGAAGAAATGACTGTATCAAGTGATGCAGTGGAGTTTAATATGCTTCACTCTATGGTAGCAAGTATATTTTTTCTGGTTTTGCTTGCATTTACTATTAAGAAGTTACATTTTTATGCAACCCTACAATAATTTCATTAAGATGAAGCACTGGAGGCATTTCCATTGAGATGAAGGATATGTCAGAATTTTAAGACTGTTTCTCATGTGGTTCTTCAGTGACATATATTTTTTTCCTGTTAAAACAAAAAAGAAAAAGAAAAGAAAACCCAACAAAGGAAATTGGCCTGAGGAAAATGCCACTGAGATACTGTTAAGAAGTCTGACTTAAAGCCAAGCAGCATATGCAGGGTGAATGCTCAGTCCACCCATTGTGCTTTCAGCCACAGGGGGCTGAGAATAGTACCCTATGAGATTTTACTAGAAGTGTGGTAAAAATATTCTGGTATAGATGCCTCTTTTTGAAATGAGAAACCTTAGTTTTTACTTTAACTTATACTATCTACTAAGACATAGGTTTTTATTTCTGCATTGACACTGCATCACTATGCATTCAAAGTGCTGTGGATAAAGTGCAAACTATTCTTTAGCATACTGCTAAGTTAATTGTAACCTGGATACCACTTATTCCAATGCAGGTGATGAGGAGCCATTGAGTCTATGGCTGCAGAAGTTATGGCCATGGTACATTTGCTAGTTAGGTCTTTTACCAGAATGCAGCCTACAAGGATCTATTTCAGTCTAGTCTAATGTTCAGACTGTTTTATGTTGTACTAAGGGAAGACCACTTTCAGGTATAGGGGAGAATTAGGAAGGTGAAGAGAAGAATCAGCTTTGTTAATTTTTAACTCTCCTGTTTTAAGAACAATGTTGTTTACCAGAAAATCAGATCTATCTTTGATAGGTTTTTTTTTTTCTTTTCAATTAAAATAAGGAAATTAATTTAGGGCTGTCTGACAGCTTGTAAGTATGGAAGTGCAAAGCTTGCTGAGCTGGCTGGTCTTCCTTGAAATACACCGTTTAAAGGGCAGAGACCTGATGTAATCACTGCCTCCTCACCTCACTGAGGTGGCCAAAGCAGACAGTGGTTCCCAAAATTGCAGCACAGCCCTAGTCTTTGCTGGTGGCAGTGCACAATGCTCTGCCTCTTGCTCCAGGCTTGGAACAAATCTGCTGTTCAAGGAAAGGCAAGTTTGTTAGCTAGAGTATTAACTACAACCTTCAAAACAAAACTTATTATTATACTGTCACAGAATGCCTGTAGCTTTATGAGGCCTTGAGAATACAATAAATTAATCACAGTAGTACTTGTTTGTTTTTATAAAGGTTTGCAAAACAAGTAATAAAGTGTTGATGGGATTTTTTTTACTTCCACATTCATTAGATATTATTCTGAGTCTAGATTTTATTAAAATGAGCTGTTCTAGAATGCATCTGGGAGTCCTGAGTTGGCTGAATGTGATTTCAGGAGTTATAGTCACAAGCTGAAAATCGTGAGATCTTAAGTTTGATCTTTGCTGTACTTCTTCTTTAGCTACAATAATAGTCTATGAATTTAAAAAACCCGAAATGCTACAATTTATATTATTACAAAGATCTAGATAGGGAGAAAAAAAAGAAAAAAGAATTATTAAAGGAAATAGGCACTGACTTTCCAGTAAAATAAATGAAAATATCATAAATGGAAGTATCAAAAGTCTTACTTTATCTAAGTAATTAATAATTTAATTAAAGTTTTCTATTTTAGAACTCAGATGTTTTTTATTAGTACTGCTAAAATGCTTAACAAACCATTGCATAATCTGTCAAATTACATCCAAATGCATTAACTAATAAAATACTTGTTTTCAGTAGTTCTGAAGAGGTATTACCTCAAAAGCTCATGCACTAATCATTCTTCAAAATCTAATTCTGTTCCTATTCTACATCTCACTTCACATTAAGAACACCATGTATGACACGTAAAACACACTGAAACCACAGGCATCCCTGCACACTCCAGCAATGGCAGCCTCAGCTGCTGGGGATGCCTCCTATCTCCATGCTACATTGCCTCTTGAGGGAGTCTGTTTTCTCAGCTGATGACATTGGACAGCTTTTATTTTTGTCAAGGCTTTTTCAGTAGAGTGGCATGATGTGAAATAGAATAACCTGATGAAATACAATAAGTTAATAATAGTGCTGTACACAGAGCACCTTTCATCATGACAGATCCCAAAGAGTTTTACTTAGACTGTACATACAAAAATCATTCTTCACCCACCACTGAAATGCAGTTACTGTTACAGAAGAATAGGGTAACCATACCATGCCAGGAATAACAGCTTTTTTTCAGTAAGGGAAATTAAGAAAAATGTCTTCATATGAAACAATAATGGGAATACTTAGGGATGCTGGATGTAATTACTAGCATTTGCATTTGGTCAACGTGTTTAAAGGATTTCTTGTAAATACATGAATCAGTAATAGAATAGGGGTATCTGTAAATATTTAATTTGCCACAAGTTTTTGTGACTTTTCTTTGCCTTTTCTCAGAAACAGCACCTTAAGCAACAAAAAAAGAATTAAAAACCACACATATTTAAGGATTGTTTCAAAATTTACTCAAAGTATGAAATGCCAGTTAGTCATGAAGAGTTGGCTCTAGAATGTTCACATTTTTGCACCAAATACTGGACAATTCTAACTCTTCCGTGTGGTGCAATTCAACAAAAAAAACATTTGGGGTATTGTTGTGAGCTCCTGCAGAACATAAGGGTAACCCACGTTCTTTTAGTAGATCCCTGGGGGAAGATTAGAATGAGCAACACTGAATAACTGGTATTTGTAAATATACATGTGTAGGGTTTATTATGGAACAATTTGGCTGCAAAGAAATACAGGTGTGTAGGCATTTTGGTTATTATTGCCTATAGTTATGTGCAGAAAATCATGCTATGAAAAGCCAGTGTCCATCAAGGAGACAGAGGAGTCCTGCAACTTTATTTGAATAAAAGGAGAATCTACTCCTTTTAGTAGAGGAAGGGGCATACACTCATAGGGCTTCTCAAGGTTTTGGAGGACAGAGCCTCCTTTGATCCTAAACTCCCTGCCACATGCTGCCCCCTTCTTTTCCTTATTGACTGAGGTACTGGGAAGTTACAGCCTTCCCAAACTGCCTACCACATATTTCCCCCTTGAACACATAATTATCCTCTGAAGTTCAGGCTATCTGGGTCCTGCAATACACCCATTCGGCTATTGCCCTAAAGTTCAGGAATTTAAACTGTAGTTAGACTTTCTGGCTTCTGTAAAAACTTGTGTGGCATGAGGTTGATAGAGATATTAAGACCCATTTCAAAGACATAACACCCTTTTCTCCTAAGGACCCTCACCCATGAGTTGTTTGTAAAGGCGTTAGCACCCACCTTCCCTATCAGTAATGTAACAACATTAAAGCATTGCAATATGAAAGTGGAACATCACTCAAGAACATGCACAAGGGAAAAGAAAGAGAAAGAAAGGACGAGATTATGGAGATCTCACCACTTGTAGGCTCCCCCAACAATACTTGGTTGCTTCACAATCTTGGTTGAAGTGGTGGTCACAAATAGGATCTGTTGAGTCATGGTCAATGTCCTGAAGAAGTGGTGGGGAGAAATACGCAGAAAAATCTATGAAACACAAAATCTACTGGCTATATATTTACTCAGGTTTGGGTGGGAATGCCTAGGTACCTCCCCTGAAAGAGGTACCCTTGGGAATCCCTGACACCTTCTAAGACAACACAGCTGCCCATCACACCAGTACAGTTGAGTAGATTATGGCCCATTATGGCCATTAACAGAGATGAACACTCTCAGGCCACAGTCAGTATCCCAGTACTTCCCTGGGGTGGGGAAGAGAGGGATCCCCACCCACCACCCAGTGTTTTGCGCAAGGCAGGACAATTTAGGATAGCAAGAGGCACCTGCCCAAATCCACAGGACCCTCTTCTGTCTCACTGAACCCATCCTTTCCCCTCTGTCTTTTCAGATCAGAGGTTTAGCAACTGTACACCCAAAAGCTCACCTCCTCCACCTCAGCAAAGATTCCTGGTGTGTCCACAAATGGGGGAAATGTTTTGAGTTGTTATCCTTTAACAGTTCAGTCTCTCACAGGTATGTCCAGATAGAACCCTGTCACACCAGAAATCTGAGTCCCTGTGCCATTCAGTGCAATACAATACTGGCAGTGTCAAGACTGGTGCTGTACTTGCTCTCAGTGGTTCCTGATACAACTTGAATATATTGATACTGGGACCTAACTGTAAGCCATAAGCATTTGCAATGCGTATTTATAACTCTTGATTTAAAAATGCAATTAAAGCATTGTAAGATATTCAATGCATGGTAATTGTGTGGGGATTTTAGCCTTTACTAGTTACAAAGCCATTGAAAAGAATAAGCATTTTCCTTTGAAGACCAAGTCTATTTGCTGTGGCTAACAGCGCTCCTCATCAATGGGCTCAGTTAATGTGCTGCATGCACACTTTGAAGCCTGATCGTTGTTTAAACAATTGAAAAATAGAAATTATCATATCAAGATAGGGAGACATAGAAGGATCACAGCATCCTCTTCTTCTTGATATTGATTGCAGCATGTAAATCAGCATCAGTGACATTTATGACATTGTATATATAGGAGATCTGGCCAAAATAGAGAGAGGAATTTGTTTGATGCCTATCAAAAACTTTAAAAATGATTGTAAATTCACTGGAAAAGAATGAGCTGAAGGGTTAAAAATGAAAATAACAGTTCATGGCAGTAGGTTAAGCTGGTGATGAATTATCCATATAGTATCATAGGGATTGTTCTCATTGCATGTCATTATTGATTCAATGGAAAAGGATATCAAGACTACAGTAATGAGGTTTGGAAACTGAAATAACCATGAAGGAGGCCAGTAGTAATAATAAAGTCCACACTAAAAAGTAAGGAATATGAATGGGAATTATTACACTGAGATTCAGTATGAAAAAATGCAACCTAAGGTACCTAAGGAATCTAGAATTTATGGCTATTAGCAAAAGTGAAAGGAAATAATGATGGACAGTGGTTTAAGATGTCTGTAATATCATCTAGTGCCTAAAAAATATGTTTCAGGGATAGACACTCATAGAAGAAGGTAGTAAAGGGCAGCAGGGGCTGAGTTACAAGTCAGCTTGGAGAGCTAAGCCTACCTGCGGCTCTGACAAGTGAACCTGCACTACTGGGTAAGAGCCATGTAGGGCTCCTAAGTTTAGTACACTTCTAGAAAGTGCAAAGCATTGCTTTTATGAATTTTTTTGCTCACCTATAAGGAAATTCTCCCACTCCCTCCCTCCCTCCTCACTTGAATATCTATCTCACTGATATCGCAAAACTTACCTTCAAGTTATGATTGTAAATCTATATCACTTATCTCAGATTTCGCTCTCATTCCAAACTTCCATTCTAAGAAAAACTGTCCAGATTTTAAAAAAGGGAAATAAATCACTTTCATGGAATGTTTGCCAACTCTACAGAATTCCCCAGCTTGAAGAACCTCACAGCAAAGATAATACTGGGAGGGTGAAGCATGCATTAATTAAAGCTTTAGTTGATGATAAGGAAGGCTTCAATTCATAACCCTACTGAGGCCTGAGTCACTTATTTGATCCCAGTTTTGTTCTGGCTCTCATTCCTCATTCTTAAAGTAGATTTAAAATGGATTTAATTGTCCCTCTATATATCACAGGAGTCTTGTGAGAATAAATATGCCACAGATGGTAAAGTACTCAGACATTAAAGTCCTGAGGGCCAGAGGAAATCAAAACTTATATCCTTGTATCTGACTGGAATCATTTGAAATTGAGTGCAAAAAGCTTTCAGAGAACATGCAAGACACAATTGCCTAACTTACAGCATATATTTTATTCAATTAATTAAGTTTCCATTATTCCTGTGAATTGTCCAGAAGTGGTTTAGGAACATAAGAATTCCCAGCCCATCAGGAGGAGAGCTTAATAGAAGGCAGGCGTTGTGGCACTGCAGCAGAGTGAGCAGCACACAGCCTCCCCCAGGACCAGCCCCCCAGCTCTCCACCATCTGTGCAGCTCTGACTTCCACAGTTAGTGGGTTTTGATAGATGTTGTTCAGTTGATTGTTTTACCCCCCGCTTTTTTTTGTTGTTGTTTTGGTATTTTGTTTTGTTTTGAGGTATTCTCTGAGGCTCACTAGAGATTTAAGTAACCCAATAGAGGTGATAGGATGTTTTTCTCAGAAGAGAAACCAAAATGAGTCCATTACCAGCAAGCTATTGCAAATGTGGATGGAATTTAGAGAATATGTCATCACCCAAAAAGAAGACTCTCAGCATCAGCCAGTCCACCTAGTGTATTTTATCAGTAATACTCTGTGTGTGGTAGTGCTTATCTGTATGGTAGCTACTACATTTAAAAACTTGACCTATTTTCTGTGACTAGACAGCATCTGCATTTGAGTGAATTTGGGGTATGGTGTAAATTTACAATTATTTACAAACAGGGCCTTGCTTTTTAACAGTGAATACTCTGTCTACATTTCTAACCTGGAGCTGTTTTTTTTCAGTGGTAGATTTTCTATCTTTTCAACACTGGTTTAACCAAAAGACTTTTTTTTTTTTTATTAAGTCTGTTTTTGTACATCAGCTTTTCATCAGGAAAAGAGTCATTCATGCTCAAGATCACGTTCCTGTTACACAAAACTGCTAGTTGACATTATCAACACCCTTATTAACTAATTCTTAAAGCAAGGTTTGAGATCATTATCTCCTTACTGAGCTGCTCATGTGGAAGCAAAGGCAGACGGAATGTACAATATTCCTCTAGGCCACAAAGAAATCATTAGTAGAAAACAGATTAAAATCTTGATTTCTTGTCAATTATTTAGATGACAGTGATTTTTAGATGACAATTATTTAGATGATTATTTAGCCTTTTCCTTGCTAACTTCCCCTGTTGTTTAGCACACTAATACAACACAGTGCTTCTTAGAACACTCAAGTTTTGGTCCAGTGTTTCCAGTAACTACAGTAATAATGGCTGAACCCTCTTGGGTTTAGTGCAGAGTCCAAAAGAAGAACTGAAATACAGATAAAGCACAGCTCTAGGAATGGGGCTTGGTTTTGAAACTTTGAAAGGTGAGGCTACCCAAACAGATCACTAGGTAGTAGCTAACTAACCTCTTCCAGCTTACTGGAAAAGAAACCTCACAGTTGTTTCATAACCTTAGCAAATCTGTCGTATTTTACAGAAATAAGGCTAAATTTCTCCCTTTTAATTTGAATCCTGAATTTCTTCTAGGAGAAATGTTAACTTTTTCTACAGGAAAATATCTGTGAAACTCTACAATATGGTATATAGGTTTTTTGGGGTTTTTTTCAGTTTTTATTAAAAAAGAACCAACAACTTTTAGGTCTTGGCTACTTTTTTACTATTAAATATGTCTTGGCACTTGTCTAGATTATGGAGTAATCACTTGCACAACATCATCCTTTAAATAGGTCAGCCAAAACTCTACATCCAAATACACTCTAAGCATTGCTCAGATCTCAGACTTTTACAGTTGGGTTCTGTCTCTCTAATGGTCTGAATCAAAATTCTGGATACATCCAAATACCCTGAAGCAAGGGTATTGCAAATGCAGATCCAGCGTGTCTGGCACAAGTCTTTCATTTTCAGGCTTCTTTTTTTTTTTATTCTCCTCTTCCCCACCCCCGTCTCCTCCTTTTAAATTAGGGCAAAAGCACATTGTTATTTCAAGAAATCTAGAAGAGACTATTTTCCAGGTTGGTTGATATTCATATGTGAAAAATGATAAAGTGATTAACTTTCAATTCATCTTGAGTAAAACCCACAGAGAAGAGTAAAAACATGGAAATTCAGCACATATGTTTTATAAAGAAAACCTATTGTCCTCTCTGGGAGGTTTTATTTCCCGAGCCTTTTAGGCAACACTTCTTTGGCCCATAAATCAGTATGAAGGAGGTCCTGGTGCTCAAGCCTCTGCTACTAGCTACAGCTGCAAAAGGGTTATATGTGTAGTAGGATAGGCCCCAAAAGTCTGGAAGAGTCTTCTCAGGACATTACAGTAGTTGTGAGTATTTGAGGTAATCACATTATATACAATACTTATTGTTTTATTGTGGCTGATACTTGGCTTTCTATCCTTAAAGCAGAGTCAGAACACTAATTAATCCTGAACCATCACAGTGACACATTTTCCAGAGGATTTGCAAACTGAGACTGATTTTTCCATGGTTTTTTAATGTCTCCCCTTTTCTTGATTTCTTTTTTGGCTCTATGCTGTTGCCACAGACAAGCATAGGATAAGATCTCAGTATTTGTTACGTCTTGCCCTCCAGGATATAATTTTTCCTAACTATCTTTAATTGAGTGGAATTAACTTTCCTTTATAAGTCTACAAAATATAAGGTGTGCTCAGATGCCTAAATACAAGTATTAGCATTGTGTTAACCCACTCTACTTTTGTGACTGTTCTGTCTAGAACTGCATACCAGAGCTTGGTTTTGGCATACTGGAGCCTGTCTTCTAGCTGCGGGTGCTTATATTCCAGCTCTTCCTTCATAAAAAAATTAACTTAATATTTACAAATTATTTTGTGCATAATGACTAATGGGATTTATAGATACTTTCTTCTATTCTTGCCTTTTTAATCATCTGCTGATGATTAAAATTCACTTAAATTTGCTGGTTTGGCATTTCTATCTCTCTCTATCATTCTTGCAATGACAGTTTCAATGCCCCATTCATCTCACAAGTGCACTTTTACACGTTGTCTCAGATTTCATCTGCACCTTTTCCTCCACTGTGCCTTGGTTTGTCCTCACCATTGTGTCCCTCAGGCCAAGAAATTCAGACTACAATGGCAGCTTTACTTCCGTAAAGACTAGATTTGGGAAATAAAAAATATATTATCCCAAGCTGGTCACATGCCTTCTCTAACCACCAGCAGTCTCAGTACTTTATCTTGTCTTTCATCTTTTATTAATTCACAACTTCTACTTCCCTTTTTTTGTCTCATCCCATCCAAATTCAGAGGGGGAGAGGTCTGTGCCAAAGACAGCTTTCTCCCTCAGCTCTATCTCTAGCACAAGTGTGGGTGCTAGTAAATGACTAAAATCTCTTCAGGCAGACGGAAGGCACAGTGCTGCCCCAAGGACTTCACTGACTAAAGGCTTCAACTGTTTTGCTAGCTGGGTCATGCTGCTCTTCCACATGGCTCAGCACCCTCTTTGACATCTGTTGCGGAGGGGTAACTTGGATAAGGATTGACCTTTCCATCTCATTGCAGAGTTAAAGCTGGGGTAGCACTTGCATACTAGGACAATGTCTGAAAGTCCTCCTGAGGACTCACTCCACGTACTAAGTACTGCACTAGAGTAGTCCTCATCCCAAATAAGTCAGTCTTTGGTTTTTTTTTTTCATTTAATTTTTATTTTAGCCCAAATAACAATATTAGGACACACTGTGCTTGGGACCATGAGAAAGGAGGTGCCTGTTTTACGTTCCTAAGCTGTAAACACTGACTGCAAGTTTTGCTGCTTTTTTTTCAAGTCCTGGTTACTATTGACACGATTAGCTTGTTGTTTTATAATAGCACCCAGATGTCCCAATCAGGGTCCTGCTGTGTTCAATATCATAGAAATATATAAGAAGAAACAGGCTATTCTCTGGAGAACTTAAAATTTTATTTAGGAAATAAATATAGTATTGTAAAAAAGGTGAGATAGGCATCAGGGTGACTGGTTGCTCTAGGCTGGTACTGGTCACTGAAGACTAGTGCTACATCATGCACTAGGACTTCTATGTATTGGAGAGCACTGGTCACTGTCCCTCTGTGGCTCTGTCATCAGCCATCAGTTGGTTTCAGGAGCAAGTCCTGAAACAGAACTTGAAGCCAATAAGATGAATTTAGTAGACAAAACCATGCAGACTGAGGGTGGGGCATGTGGCTTGGTTTGGTTATTTTCTTTATTGTCCTGACAAGGGGACAGCAAATCTCTGACAAGGTAATTCTGGGTAGACTTGTGGAATAAAAGCTGCAGAAAAGTACTAAAGGGGAAAAAAGGCTCCCTCATGCAGCAGTGAAGGGACAAAGTTCAGATGGGGGATGGTCAGATCTCAGTGAGGAAATGGTGTAATAAAGGCTGGAACTGAAAGAATGAAGGAGACAAAAGGGATTTCAAAATGTTAGGTATTTTTATTTCATAAAATGATAATTTCCCTTTGGATCTGAAACACCTATCTTTCTATTTTCTGTTATTGAAATACTAAGTACTGTACCAAAATATTTTTTTTTTAAAAATAAAAACATGTTTTCTTAAACAGACAATATAAGTAATTTCTGGGAGTATTGGTAATTTAGCCTGGTGTATAGGAGAAATGTGCTTTTCATTTAATTGACCATTTGGTGGCAGTACACATTAGCCTCACTTTTTGGATGATAATGTGTTATTCATTATGGTTGTATCTCAAATTTATTCCTCTCAAATGTGTCAAGTGCAAACCAAATCTTTACATAAAGTCTGCAATGCTAAGGGCTAAATGCCTATTCTTACGACTCACTAAGAGAAACAGGTATTGATTTGAAGAATATGGTGCTAACATTCACTACCATTTCATAGTAAGTCTTTCACATATGACAAAATAGTTAATTTTGCTTCCTACCATTGTTTCTTCTAAGGTAGTGTGACATATTTTCACAGAAATTATGCTTACAATGAAATATCAACAGTATGCAAGGATTGCTTTCTTCTTTACATGGAAATTAAAATGAAGACTAAATAAAATGGCCTGCACACAAAGAATAAATTCCAGCTATATGATAAAAAACATATTCAGGACTTTCCCTGGTAAAAGACACGTGTTACCACACTCCTACAGCTCAAAGTACACTACACTCTGAATGAACAGTTCTATCTGGTACAGTTTAGAGAAGCATACAATATCCTGTTTTTAATGCAGCACAGGTGTTGGCAGATCGAAATACTAAGTCTCATTAAATCATATCTATATATTGTCATGAAACCAAGTTTCTATTTCCAGTATTAGTGTACTAGAGCAGGCTGTTAAAACTAAGATGAGGGACTTGAAAAGGGATCAGCAATGGTGTTCATAGGGGTTGATGCTTGCTAATCTCTGTTTTGATACAAGCAATATTTCATTAGACTGTTTATTTTCACTATGATGTTTTTTGAACTTATTTATTGAGCTGTGATACTTCTTGGGAAGTGTTTCTGGCTGTGGACAAGTACCATCTGCAGTAGAGTAAACTTATGTTTAAAAAAAGCTCATTAGCACAAGCTGAAACCAGGAAAGGATCCTAGAAAGGGCCCAAGGAGGGGACCTGTGAAAGTAATGACAGGATGGAAAGGCAGAAGGACACTGAGCTTCAATGCTGGACAACAGTCCAACTTCAAGCTAAACATGCAGTCAGCATGTATTGATGTTACTGTGTGCTGTCAAGCAGGCTGCAGCCACCTGCAAAGCATTCCTAGAGGCAAGAGAGTTTCTGAAATATAGACATGGAGGTGCAGAATGCACAAATTATGGATCACATATATATGTAAATATTTGTGCATAGTAATGTGTATTTATGTGCAAAAAATGAGAGTATAACCTCCGTGTTTTCAACTCTCTATGAATTTGAAAACTGTAATCTGAATTAATAGTCTTAAATTTGGAAGTCCCTCAATTTTCAACAAAAGCTACAGATGCACTCTAGTTTGCAGTAGCTGTTGACATCCCTAATTCTTGGACAGAGAACAGGCACTTTGATTTGATATTCTCTGGTTTGACAGTCTGACTTCCTACATTTTATACTGTTTTTCAGTATGGGAAATTTATAAAACCCCACAACACCTGTCTGCAGGAGGCAATTGTCACTACACCTGAGTTTGGGGTTCTGAAAATAAAAGAACCAAACTATTTAAAATATTGCAGAGTCATAGAATGGCACAGAAATACCTGTCCTGGGGTAGAACATTTATTTGTTTCTGAGTTATATTGTTAATATCCTTCTTGCTTTGGCATCCAATTAATATATTACACTGAGAACACCACTGGATTCAGTTTAGAATTTAGACATTAATTTAAAACATAGATTTTTCCAGTAACAACACAATTTGAACTAAGGAGCAGGAAGTATACTTAAAAATTGACTGATATTTTCTGAAGAGATTTGGAAAAAAGCTTATTAGCAATAGTCACAGTGTTCAAGTATTACCTGCAAGTACTTATTCCTACCACTGGGAATACCCAAGTTCCTCTAAATCAGGTAAGGCTTGGGAGATTTCAGTGAAGACATCAGTAGTAGAAGAGGTGGAGCTGCCACCTTCTCCTCACCCTCAGCAGCTGTAAAGGAGCTCTCCTGTATCTCCTAAAATAAGATTCCACCGACTAAGGAAAGTTTTTTTGAGTTTACACTTTCAGCAGTTCAAAGGAAGTATAGCAATATATATATATAAGCATTATACATATTAATTATATTATATTATATTATATTATATTATATTATATTATATTATATTATATTATATTATATTATATTATATTATATTATATTATATTAATTATATAATAGTATTATATTATTATATTATATTTATTATATTATTATTTCTATAATTATTATTATAGAGTATATAGAATATTATAGATATAGAATATTTAATATATATATGTATATATGTATATATATGTGTGTGTATATATATATATATATATATATATATATATATATATATAAGCATTGATATAATGAGATACTCTTTGTAAAAGGTGTTGTCTTATTTCCTAGTAGGTGTGTNGTATATTATATTATATTATATTATATTATATTATATTATATTATATTATATTATATTATATTATATTATATTATATTATATTATATTATATTACATTACATTACATTATATTATATTATATTATATTAATTATATAATAGTATTATATAATAGTATTATATTATATTATTATATTATATTTATTATATTATTATTTCTATAATTATTATTATAGAGTATATAGAATATTATAGATATAGAATATTTAATATATATACGTATATATGTATATATATGTGTGTGTATATATATATATATATATATATATATAAGCATTGATATAATGAGATACTCTTTGTAAAAGGTGTTGTCTTATTTCCTAGTAGGTGTGTCCTTCAATCCCAGGAGTGATTTGTGACAGGGAAGTCATCCTGGAAGATCGATAGACCTGCTGCACACTTGAGCCAGTTGTTTTGTCTTCATTAGGAAGGATCCAAGTTCACTGAGCTCACCTATGCTAGGATTTTGGCAAATAAACTTGTTACCACATAGCCATACATTAACTTGGTTGCTCTCTATTTATTTCTTGCACACCATATTCTGTAGTAAGTATAAACTCTCCTACTCCTGCTGCCATGAAGGAGTCAATTCCATGAAAATAAGACACCAGGATAGTTACCACAAGCACTCCTGTGCCTGTACTATGCCTGCAGTGACTTGCTTCTCTGACAAGAACTGAAATAAACATAGGGTAAAATCCTGCTGAAGACAGCTCTGCTTCTCTTCCTAGTGTAAGCTTACCTATGGCCTTACATTTTCCTGATATCTGGAGGGCATCCCAAACTATGTGAAAACTGCCTTCTCTTCACTAAGATTTTTGTATTGTGGTAATGTTAATAGTTAAGAACAAAACAATTTTTATAAGAGAGAAGGACCATATAACTGTTTCCTACCGTTGCAGTTGTACAGACTTTTCCTAGAGATTTTCATTGTTTTCGTATTGCTGAAATGGAGAAAATTAACTTAGGGTGAGTTTTTTTAAAGCCTTAACCTCCACAGTTTTTCAAATTAATGAGTTTGTTAATGAGAATAGTAATTCCAGTATGCAGCTACGGTTTGCTGAGTTGAGTTACAAGTATGTCTAAGTAACATGATTCTTGTCCAAAGGATACAAAAGCTACAAACCTTTACCTTGCAGGAAACACAGTAAGCAAAATATATTTATGTTTTCAAGAAACTGATGTCTTTTCACCTGCAGTGGGACTGATTGGTCCACAAACACGTTGCTTGTGCTTTACTTTTCCTTGTAGAAAATGATTATTCTGTGATTCTATGATTTATGATTCTATGATTTATTCTATCATATTCTATGATTCTGTGATGTAGAAAATTAAAATTCTATGATTATTATCATAGAATTATAAAATATGCTGAGATGGGAGGAACCTGTGAGGATCATCAAGTCCAGCTCCTTGCCCTTCATAATAATCACACCATGTGCCTGGGGGTGTTGTCCAAGCTCAGTCCAAACTCTGTCAGGCTTGCTGCTGTGACCACTTTGCTCAGCAAAGCTCTGTGTGAAAAACACTGATATCTAGTCTATACCCTCCCTGACACATCTTTAGGTCATTCCGTTGTCACTAGCCAAGAGAGTGGAGACATCAGTACCTGCCCCTGTACTTCCCCTCATAAGGATGTTGAAGAACACAATGAGGTCTCCCCTCAGCCTCCTCCAGACTGGACAGACCAAGTGACCAAGTGACCTCTCCTCCAGATATTTCACCACATTCATGGTCTTCCTTTGCACACAGTCTTATAGTTAAATGTTTGTTTTGTTTTTTTATTAGGACTTCCAAAACTGCCCCCAGCACTCAAGGAGAGGCTGGCCCAGTGCAGAGCAGAGCTAGACAACTTCTTCCCTTGCATGGCTGGCAATGCTCTCTCTGATGTCCCCAGGACAGGGTTGATGCCCCCAGAACAGTTTCCTGGCTGCCAGGGCACTGCTGGCTCATATTCATCTTGCCATGGATGAGACCCCCAGGGCCCTTTCCATGGCACTGCTCTCCAGGCTCTCATTCCCCACTCTGTCTGTAGATCCAGGGCTGCTCCATCCCAGGTGCAGAATTTGGCACCAGCCCTTGTGGAATTTCATGTAGCTGGTGATTGTGGCTCTCTAATTTATTAAGGTCTCCTGCAGGACCTCCCTGTCTTCAAGGAAGTTGACAGCTCTTCCCAGTTTAGTGTTTGGCGAATGCACTTAGCATTCCTTAGAGTTCTGCACTGAAGTGGTTAATGAAGATGTTGAAGGGCACTGGACCAAGGATGGAGCCCTGTGGAGCCCCCTAGTGACAGGTCCCCAGTCTGATACCACCCCATCCACTGAAACCTGTTGTGCCCAACCCAGGAGCCAGTTCTCACCCATCCCATGATTTGTTTGTCCAGTATTTAGCTGGACATTTTGTCCAGAAGAATCCTGTGGGAGACAGTACTGAAAGCTTTGCTGAAGTCCAAAAAGATCATATCAATTCCCTTAATCAATTGGATGCGTTACATTTTTGCAGAAGGAAATGAGGTTCAACAAGCAGGACTTGAGACATTGTGAAGCCATGCTGTCTGTGGGCAGTAGTTGAAGATGACACAGTAAGCATTAATTCCCACCCCTGCCCTAGAAGTGAAGCCATGCATTGCCTACTGCCATTTCTGCTTTAAACCATCCATATCATGTCGCTTTTATATGTGGCTATGTTGCTGCATGGAAGACATGTTCTGATCATTGTTTGTGGGCTTTACCTGTACTCAACAGCTACAGCTTCCTGGCAGTATAGTGTCAGGACAGCAGCATATTTAATGAGTACAGTATATCCTGCACAACTACAAGGAATGAACGAAACAAATGCATATTTTCTAAATTAAGTGGGAAATTACCTGTCCTTTATGCTGGGACGTTGCATGATTTTGTGCCTCCAACACCCTTTATGTTCAAAAGTTATTCTTTACCTTCCATGAAAACCATAGCATGGCTTTTACTATTTTAAAGTAAGGCGATAAATAAGAATAATTTGACTCCAAACACATTTTTGAAAATAACTGCTTCATCTATGCAAAATTTTGCCTGCAGCCATCACCGTGATCTTTGTATGCATTGGGTTTGCATGACCAAATTTTTGTTTGTGGTGGGGCTGCAGGGGTGACTCCTTTGAGAGGCTCCCCCATGTCCAACAGAGCCAAAGCCAGATGGCTTCAAGATGCATGTGCTGCTGGTCAAGGCCAGGCCAATCAGAAATGGTGGTAACACCTTTATGATAACATATTTAAGAAGAAAAGTTATGGCACAGTTGTGACCAGAAAAGAGTGAGGTGAGAAGATGAGACAAGAACAGCTCTGCAGACACCAAAGTCAGTGGAGAAGGAGAGGCAGAGGATGCTTCAGGCACTGGAGCTGAGATTCCCCTCCAGCCTGTGGTGAGACCATGGTGAAGCAGCTGTGCCTGTGAAGCCCGTGGAGGACCACAAGGACATAGAGATCCACCTGAAGCCTATGGAGAAACCCACACTGGAGCACAAGGATGGCTGAAAGAAGACTGTAAACCCATGGGAGGCCTAGCCTGGAGCAGGCTCCAGGCACGTACCTGCAGGCCCTATGCTGGTGCAAAAAGGAGCCCGTGCCTGGAGCAGGTTTCCTGGAGGGACCCATGCTGGAGCATACTGTGCCTGAAGGACTGCACACCATGGAAAAGTGTCCTACATCGTAGCAGTTTGTGAAGAACTGTTGCCCATGGGATAGACTCACACTGGAGAAGTTAATGGAGAATTTTCTCCTGAGTGAGAGACCTTGTGCTGGAGCAGGGAGAGCAATTCTTCTCCCTGAGCAAGAGCAGGAGCAATGTGTGGTGAACTGACTGTAATCCCCATTTCCTGTCTCCCTGCGCTGCTGTTGGGGAGGTAGAGCAGGGGAGGTGGAATGGTGTAGGAAAGGTGTTTTTGAGGTCTTGTTTTGCTTGTCATTATCCTGCTCTGATTTTGTTGGTTATAAATTCAATTAATATCTCTTATTCAAGTTGGTACTTGAGGAGTGATTTCTCCTGGGCCTTATCTCAGCCCATGAATCCTTCTTTCTCCCCTGTCTAGGTGTGGAGGGGACAGATAAACATGCTTTGGTGGATGTCTGGCAGCTAGCCAGAGTCAACTCCCTAGACTTCTGTGCAGGATTTGCCTAGTCAGAGGTGGGGTGCAGGTCTCTTGGCTGGAATACACTTCCTCTGAATACACTGTAGGACATATGCTCTTCTTCATGCCACAGGCATGAGGCACTGCTAAACATAGGAATATCAAATCAGAGAGAAACTCAAATGAAGTGCTCTGAAGATGGACAACTTCTATGAGAGTAAGACCATTTCATGCAGAAAAAAAATGAACCTTTCCAACCTGGCATTGTTCTTCTTTTGACTATGGAAATCTCTGTTTCATAAAAACAGTGTCACACTCTGTAAGTAATAGTGAGAGAATCAAGGCAGACTGGACATTGAAAAATAATGGCACTACCTTGTGACCTGTTATGCTGGTTTTAACTGGGTAGAGTTAGCTGTCTTCATTAGCTAGAGTTAGCAACTGATATGGGGATGTGTTTTGTGATTTATGCTGGAAACAATATTGATAACACAGGGATGTTTTATCTATTACTGAGCAATGCTCACACAGTGTCAAGGCATCTCTTGTGTTCCTCACTGAACCCCAACAATGAGGAGGATGTGGGGACACAAGAAGTTGTGAGGGGACACACCAGGACAGCTGCCCCCAGCTGACCACAGGGATATTCCATCACATATGGCATCAAGCTCAGCATATAAAGCTGGGGGAAGAAAGAGGAAGGGGAAGGATGTTTGTGGTTGCTGGCATTTGTCTTCCCAAGCCACTGTTACACATGATAGAGCTCTCCTTTCCTGTGGATGACTGAACACCTGGCTGCCCATGGGAAGTGGTGAATGAATTCCTTGTTTTTCTTTGCTTGCATGTGTGGCTTTTGCTTTACCTATTAAACTGTCTGTATCAAAACCCACTTTTAGTCCACCATGGGGGGAGTGAGTGAGTGGCTGCATGGGGCTTAGCTGTCAGCTGGGGTTAAACCATGACAGCTGTCCATAACACTGTCTGTCAAAACTGGTATAAGAAACAATAACTCCAGTCATGTTATTACATTTGGGATTTTTATTTCAGGAAAACCAAAGCTGTGAAGGAAACTAAGTATTGGAGACCTGGTTACGTCTTGCTGAATCAGAAGAGAATTTGAAGTAATAAGTCCACTGGATAACAGCAGCATGCATGTAAGTATATGTAGTTAAGCTCTAGCATTCTCTCCTTGGAGAAAATATCCATGCATTTAGCAGGAGCAAAAATGATGAACATGTTCCCTATTTTCAGCTCAAGCAAGCAGTAATGTTCAGTAATCAGTGGGATTACTGTAATGTCCCCTCCTTTATATTTACATAGGAAAAGAAACCTGGACATAGAGCCATCACTACTGCTGCTGGATTTGTTTTCCATAAACTATTATGTTGGCCCTCAGT